CATCTTTCAGCTCCGGCGTACAGTGGTGCCTTGACTGAGTTTGAGTTTAATTCGTTCTGTGACGGAGCTCGTAACTCAAATTACTCTCAAGTCAAATTAATTTTCCCCATAGAAATGAGCTAAAATGCCAATGATCTGTTGCAGAAAATAAAATGTGTAAACTGTACCATTCACTCAACTAGGTTTAGTGGAACCAGTTGACATAACTTGGTTGAATAAATTCAACACTTCATTTTTTTATAGAGTACATGAGGAGTTCTGGTCAGATTTAAATTTGTGACATGTAACTATGGCTGTGTCCTTTGAAGGACCCGGTCTACCTGGTCTAGGTGGGCCGGCTCCTTGGTAGACCGCAAACACTGGAGAAAAATAGCTGTGAATTTGGACGGTCTAGCCGTCTGCCCTTACCCTGCTTATGTCCCGTCAACTAGCAACCATGACGGCAATAAACAGAAACAACAAATAGATCAAAATTAGCAAAATATCAATGATATTTTAGTATTATTAATATCATAAAACAACATCATTAGCTTAAAGGTAATATTTGAAGAACTAAATGGATCCGCCATAGGTGCATATTTATTGCTCTACACCAGCTCGTTTGGTTTCTGACAAAAATAATATTAAAATCATGTTTATACAAATAATAAAAGCATTAACAACACAACCGCTTGACACTTTTAGTTTTCATACCACCAGTTTTATTTAAAACTGTACTCCCTTCTCTTACTTCGTCCACTACTGTGAGCAGAAAAAAAAATCTCTGGTCGGTCTACAAAGCATTATGGTACAGGGTGGGCCGARAAGGATCCATCAGACCTGCCCCTCAAATCGGGGAAAAGAAGGACAGATTTGTCGGCCGCATCAGAGGAGTCTTCTAATTTGGACAGCCTCCGGTGTGGCGCTGTGACGTAAGCTGCTGACAAATTTGGCCTTTAGAGGAAGCAGCCCCTGAATGTGGACACAGCCTAGGTGTTAAACTTTAAAGTAAAATAAGTAAAAGCATCATTTTTTATGTTTTGAATATAATGAAATAAAAGTAAAAGTTACATTTAAAAGAATACTTTAATAATTCAATGCATAGGAATCTATGGGGGAGGTAATGTGTCAGCCTCATTTGGGGTCAGTAACGGTGTGCGGCAAGGTGGGATTTTATCTCCTGCTCTTTTTAATCTTTTTATGGATGATCTGTCAGAGACTAAATGCATGTAAAACTAGTTGTGCTATTGGTTCTACCCTTGTAAATCATCTGATGTATGCAGATGATCTTGTTGTATTCAGTCCCAGTAGTGCAGGACTCCAAGAACTTTTAAATATTTGTTCCGAGTATGGCATGGAACGTGATATATTATATAATGCCAGTAAGTGTTGTCATGATCAGCAGGACTAGGATGACAAAAATGTGAGATTTCCTCAGTTTTTATTATGTGGAAATAGTCTGACTGTGAGTAATAAAGTCAAATATCTAGGGCATTTTCTCACTGAAGACCTGACTGATGATGATGATATTTACAGGCAGTGTTGCCTGCTGTATGGACAGGCTAATATGCTCATCAGGAGGTTTGGTGCTTGTACTGATGAGGTAAAGATATCTCTGTTTAAGGCCAACTGCACACCTTTATATACTGCACATTTGTGGTCTAACTACAAGAGCGCTAGTATGAGTAAACTTAACGTGGCTTACAACGATTGCCTCAGACTCAAACTGAACAAGCCAAGATGGGAAAGTGCTAGTCAACTCTTTGTGACAACTGGGCTCAAAACTTTAAGGGCTCTTTTAAGAAATTTGATGTTTAAATTTATTGGGCAWGTCAATGYATGCTGTAATTCAATTATTATGAGCTTGACTAACATTAGACCCAGTGWAACACGTTACCAGTCCCAGTCGTAGAGGTACTGGTACAGCTGTCTTTTATAGTTCTTTGTTTTGTTTTGTTTTGTTTGTTTGTTCTTGGATTTTATTGTTAATCTGCTTCTCTTGTCTTTGTTCTGTGGACCATGAGTCTGTAATAAAGGTTTGAATATCATGGTTAAAGGTTGAAGAAAGACTGACTCTTTTCTTTTATAAAATCTGGACCTCACATAAATCCTCCATTTTATTTTCTCACTTGTTGCCCACTTCAAATAGACATGGTTTTAAAACTAGACATTCTGCTTCTGTGACCTACAGCGGGTAAAACAAGTATTGAACACGTCACCATTTTTCTCAGTAAATATATT